GTTGGTTGCTATGACCTCTTCTCATCTACCTAAATCCTATGTAAAGACTTATTTAATGATATTAAAATGTCTTTTCCTTATAGTACTTGTTTGTTTTAGTGAAAATATAGCTGCTCACTCTTTTTATACAAGTTATACAAAATGAAGCAGAGGACTGTAGCATTTTATGGAAAATCCAGCTATTCACAACTCAGGTTTTAAAATGTAGCTAAAAACTCAAGGTTTTGACACACACACACACACACACACACACACACACACACACACACACACATATATATATACTCTCTCTCTTTCTCTCTCTCTTTCTCCCCTCCCTCCCCTCTCTCTCTCTCTCTCTCTCTCTCTCTCTCTCTCTCTCTCTCTCTCTCTCTCCTCATTTGGTTTTCCTAGATAGTTTTTGTAAGGTCACATTTGGTTCAAGCTTTCCATGTGGGACTAGAGAGACGGCGATGGATTAGTGGTTAAGAGCAGTTGTTCTTGCAGAGGTCTTGGATATGATTCCCAGCAGCCACATGATTGCTCACAATGTAACTCCAGTTCCAGGAAATCTGATACTCCCTTCTGACCTCTTCAGGCACCAGGCAGACACATGGATCATAGATATACATGCAGACACACACACACACACACACACACACACACACACACATATATATACTCTCTCTCTTTCTCTCTCTTTCTTCCCTCCTTCCCCTCTCTCTCTCTCTCTCTCTCTCTCTCTCTCTCTCTCTCTCTCTCTCTCTCTCCTCATTTGGTTTTCCTAGATAGTTTTTGTAAGGTCACATTTGGTTCAAGCTTTCCATGTGGGACTAGAGAGACGGCGATGGATTAGTGGTTAAGAGCAGTTGTTCTTGCAGAGGTCTTGGATATGATTCCCAGCAGCCACATGATTGCTCACAATGTAACTCCAGTTCCAGGAAATCTGATACTCCCTTCTGACCTCTTCAGGCACCAGGCAGACACATGGATCATAGATATACATGCACACACACACACACACACACACACACACACACACACACACCCCTTTTTTCTTAAAACAAATACAATTTAATGGAAACATCAATGACAAAATATTTCTGTGGCCAAGGTGAATATGTATAAATTATTAAAATTCGTCAAGGTTGTGAAGGAATACTAAAACCTAATTTCAAAGAATTTTGAGGTAAATGTGTTTGAAATAGTTGCCACTTGAGGAGCACCCAGGGCAACTGGCTTTTTTCCCTTAGGAAGCATCCTCAGAATGGTCATCTCCCCCAGGGAATGGAAAGCACTATCCTGACCTTTCACATTATCTGTTCTCATCACCTGGGTACACTCTATTTGCTGAAGTCAAGTGAAAATGTATAAAGTATAAAGTCGGGGTTTTTAAAAGTAATTAATCAATTATTTTTTCTCAGTCCTATCACAGTTTCACCTCCCTCCATCCTCTTTTCCTAGTCCCTCCCTCACCCCACCTGCATCCACTCCTTCTCCCTTCCCTTCAGAAAAGTGCAGGCCTTGATCAATGGGACCATAATGAACATCCAGATGTAAATCCACATACCAATGGACACCTGATTTTTGATAAAGAAGCCAGAAATATGCAATGGGAAAAAAGAAAGCATCTTCAACAAACGGTGCTGGTCTAATTGGGTGTCAGCATGTAGAAGAATGCAAGTAGGTCTATATCTATCATGCTGCACAAAACTCAAGTCCAAGTGGATCAAAAACGTCAAAATAAGTTCAGATACACTGAACCTGATAGAAGAGAAAGTGGGGAATAGTCTTGAACACATTGGCATAGGAGACAATTTCCTGAACAGAACATCAATCACATAAGTGCTATGATTAACAATTGATAAATGGGACCCTATGAAACTGAGAAGCTTCTGGAAGGCAAAGGGCACTGTCAAAAGGACAAAACAGCAGCCTACAGAATGGGAAAAGATCTTCACCAACCCCACATCTGACAGAGGGCTAATTTCCAAAATATATAAAGAACTCAGGAAGCTAGACATGAAAAACCAAAGAATTCAATTAAAAGTGGGGTACATATCTAAATAGAAAATTGTCAACAGAAGAATCCCAAATGGCGGAGAAGCACCTAAAGAAATGTTCTACATCCTTAGCATCATGGAAATGCAAATCAAAATGACTGTGAGATACCATCTTACACCTGTCAGAATGGCTAAGGTAAAAACACAAGTGACAGCTCATGCTGGAGAGGATGTGGAGTAAGAGGAACACTTCTCCATTGCTGGTGGAAGGGCAAACTTGTAAGACCACTTTGGAAGTCAATATAGTGGTTTCTCAGAAAATTTGGAATTGATCCAGTTACACCACTCCTGGGCATATATACAAATAAATGTTAAAAACCCTTCCAAAGTGATTTTGGTTTTCTTTCTTTGATTTTCCATCGCATTTATGTAGACAATTTCCATATTGAAAAGAAGCTGTAGTAAAAGTAAAAATGTCTTGATACTTATATTTAATGATCATGATACTTTTGTTTCACTTTCCAAAGAAAAAACATTAATTTGAACATTCCTGCAACTGTTGATGGTGATGATAGAAAGCCAAATAATAATTACAAGCAATTTTCATGTATTTCTCTGTTTTTCTTTTCACACAACTCTATCATCCTGGCACTATTTTAATTACCATTTTATAGAATACATAACCAAGTTGTGCTTGAGAGATGACCCAGTAGTTAAGGGCAGGTACTACTCTTGGAGAGGAACTGAGTTCAGTTCCCAGAACCCACACTGGGTGGCTCAAAACTGGTAGCAACTCCAGTTCCAGGGCTGTTACTTAACAGTGGTGTGTTTGTGTGACAAAGTAACAAGGGGGTGAACTTGCAACATCTAATCTGGGCTGCCAACTTGACACTTGATAATTGATATAGGAGGACCAAGTCCAACATAGGTAGTGCCATCCTCAGGCAGGTAGGCCTGGACTGCATAAGAAATATAGTTGACCATGAGCCTGCGAGTAAGCCAGTAAACAGCATTCCTCCATAGCCTCTGTTCAGTTCTAGCCTCCAGGTTCCTACTTTGCATTCCTGCTTTGGCTTCCCCAATTATGGATTGTAATGTCAAAGCCAAAGAAATCCTTTCTTTCCCAAGTTGATATTAGTCATGTTGTTTGTCATAGTAATAGAAGCCAAACTGGGACACCCACTTCTGCCCTTCACAGGCACCTGCACTTGTGTGCACATACTCCTCTGCCTCTATATATGTAGCTAAAAATAATTCTGGAAAAATGTGTAACAAAGGAAGAGTGTTTGAAACACTTGACCAAAGCTGCATAGCTGATAAACAGGAAAATTGAGAACAGAGTCTGTGGAAGGCTAGATTATTGTTTAAAAATCCTTGCTACTCATACCTCCAGGAAAGTATATTTGATCACTCCGTTGGTGCTGGCCTTGGCTATGTGACTCAGTCCAATCTCTTGGTGGGTGGTTAAACTTGATTTCCCATTACCGTTGAGCTTGATTATGTACCTGAGTTGACAAGTGTGATTAATCAGAAATGATATAATGCTGGATGTGAAATCTGCTCTTGTGATTCACCATGGACTCATACATTTCTACCATTGTCATAAGGGCACGTGCTAGTTAACCCACTGACTCAAAGAAGATGTAGAACTAATCAGTAACTTGAAGCTAAGCCTGCTGATTCATGGATGGCTATAAGAAAGGGTTGCTGTTTATAAGTTACTGAATTTGATACACTCTGTTATGTATTGAGAGCTACCTGATACTCTAAACAGTATAAATCCAAGAACTTACTAGATTTCATGGGTTCTATTAATTATTATCAGAGCATCACATTTAGAATTACTCCCGAGCCAACATGTCTAAAACAACAAAGCTGGGAAGTGTCAGTCCAGTGGATGCAGATGGGTACAATGGTAGCAGAAATGTTGTGTGGCAACCAACCACTTTCTGATTGGATGTAAGATATTCGCTACAGGTGAAAACACATGATTCAAACTGTGAATCTGGCCAAGAATAAATGGTTGTGGAGCTCATAGGCCCCAGGAATGGATCTGCTATAATTAGTTGTATCAAACATCCCTCTAAATTCACACCTCTATATCCACAGATTAGTGTAACTCTCAGACATTATCAGAGAAGTTCCTTTGTGCAGTGTGTGGTGCTTAACACAAGCCAGGCAAGGGCCCTCAACAGGGGCTCTGCAAAGTCCACCAAATCTTCCTGTGCTGGGCCTAGGCCCTTCCCCATGTGTCCAGGGCCAGAGTGTAACCCTTCACATGGGATGGGCCAGAGAATAATTGTTAATGGAGTGTGCTCAGCCACATGTGGAACACCTGAATCAAATCTCCTCTACAAGACTCAGGGATTATCACAGAAGAGGGTCCAGAAATATTGTTAGAGCAAGGTCAGAGAGAATTAGAGTTAAATAGTGTCTCTGGATATGACAGGACAGCTGCACTCATGAACACGCAGGAGCTGTGGTTACCTGCACAAGGACTGCACCGGATCAAGTCAATGTTTTAGCTCAGAGTGGGAAGAGGTTTATGAACCCCCACCCCAAACTGAGGCACTCCTGACAGTTGATGGCTTCTAAAGGAGGGAGAGTCAGTTCTCCTTAAATTTCCTGGTAGGTCACCTCTATTCCAGTGGATAGCCCCATACCAGGAGAATATGGAAAATGCAAATCGGAGTCAGTGGGTTATTAACAAAAGAGGATATGAAGTCAGGGGCGAGTTAGGGAGGTGGGGTAGATTTGGAAGGAGTTAGGGGGAATAGGAGTGAATATGATCAAAACACATTGCATGAAATTATTAAAGAATAAAAATGTGCTAGCCATCTGAAATGATTAACTCTGTAGTAGTATTTGATATAACTCTAGAACTATTCTCCTTGGAAGTTATACATTTTTGTACTATTTCTCTCACATACTTTAAAAAACAGAAATATAGTGATTTGGTTTTGTTCAATATCAAGTTCACACAGCTTACATGTTCATTTCCTGCCCCTCAACTTCCAGATGTAATCCACTTAAGAGTTTGGGATCATGCCTGCCACTCTGAAACAATATCTGAGATGGATAAGTGAACATATTTTGAATGACACAAATGGTTCCCATCTACGGAAAGCAATGACAGGTAAGGAAATGGAAAACTGGATATTTGCAATAAAAATAACTAACGACACGAAGAGGTTTGTTCTGCACCAATGGGCCAGAGATGTAAAATTTAGATAGAGATGTGGACAACAGCTACCTGAGTAATGACAGACTTTGTTTTTACCCTTTTAAGGTGTGCTGATCTTCTGCATTTACAATCAGGCTGAGAAATGTGGAAAGCGGGTCAAGGTCTTGGTTTGAACTTGCGTGTGCTTTGTTCTAGAAGCTTTAGGGCATAAAATGCATGGGAGATTACATAGCTTAGACACCCCTGGTGATTGTCTACCTTCCTCCTGTGTACCCTACATTTATTTCCCATGGTGTTTTCTAAAATGTATTCTATGGGTTTATGATTTTGTGAGTATATAGGTTTTGCAAATGCATGATCACTCAAAAATTCATTCTATTGCAAGGATTCCCATGGACATAGGAAATTGAATTATAAAAATCTTCAGAGAGTGGTGGAACATGCAGCATTTCTTAGACCATTTGTCTACATATACTATTCAAGGAGTAACTTCGAGTGTCAAAGTGATACAGAACATATGTTGAGGAATTTTTCCTCTAACATGTTTCTCTAATGAAATTTTTGGTGCTTCAGGGGACCCTATTCTTATAACATTCAGTGAGATAAGTAGGGAATATGCTTTATTGACCTGATTCCTCTTGATGGAGAAGGGGAAGCTGCCTGCATAAATCTCCACGGCAGTGAGTAAGATGTATAAGTTCTGCCATCTAACTTGGTGAAATAAAAGTCTAGCTTTACTACTTGTTAATGGTATGAGTTTGGGCGTCTGTGCTACATGGCTCAATCTTACAAGTTTGCTGTGAAATGTAATGACAGAATAATTAGAAGACAGCAGAATCCCTGACACATGGTAGGTTCTCAATACATATAATCTTAAACTGTAATATTATACATCTTAATAAGGAACTTGTAGCCAGGATATAAAAACAAAAATTGGAAATCAATTGTAAAAGGCAACCTAGCTTATTTCCCTTAAAAAAGACAAAAGATCTAAATACTAAAATGAGATGTATAAATGGCTTAAAACATATGAAAAAATGTTCAACATTGTTAGTCACCAGAGAAATAAAGAACCACAATGAGATACTATTTTATCCCTACTAGGATGACTACAAGAGAAAAGGTGGGATGCTGGAGAGGTAGATTAGTGGTCAAAAGCACTGGCTGCTCTTCCAAAGGGAGCAGGTTTGATTCCTAACACGCACATGACAACTCACAACTGTCTATAACTCTAGGTCCAGGAAATCTGATGTCCTCTTCTAGCTTTTGCAGGCACCAGGCATGCATGTGGAGCAACTGTCTATAACTCTAGGTCCAGGAAATCTGATGTCCTCTTCTAGCTTTTGGCACCAGGCATGCATGTGGAGCACATACATACACACAGGCAAAAATTCATACACATAATGTAAACAAACAAACAAACAGAAGAAAACATGTGGTAAGTATTAAAGAGGATATAGAGACTTCAGGAGCTTTATATACTGATATGAGAATGTTAATATGATATAGCTGCTTTGAAAGTAGACATTCCTAACACATAATACTAGATTTAGTATGAGACAGCAATTCTACTTGTAAGAGAAAATAAAAAATAATTCACATAAAACTCGTAGATGATTGGTCATGACAGTTTCATTCATAAATAGACCCCAAATGAAAATAATGTAAATGTCTAGCAACTCATGATGGGTACAGTGGAATTTTTTTAACAACCAAAGGACATGAGACACTGATACATGCTATGGATGAATTTGGAAAATAGTATTGCATCTGAAAGAAGTTAGTCACAGAAGTCTACTTGGTGTATGGTTCCATATGTATTAAATCTCCAGAATATGCAAATGGTTATGAAGAAATGGAAGAAGAGAGAACCTCTCAGAAGGATTGGGGAATGATGTCTAATGGCTACAGGAAAGGTAAAAAAAGGTATCAAGTTAAATTTTGGTGACATTTGTACAACCCTGCAAATATACTAAAAAGCACTGAGTTCTGTTTTTTTTTTTTTTGTATGCTGTGCAGGGATCAAACCTAGTACCTTACGAATGCTATGCAGCTTGAATGAGCAAATTGTGAGATATGAGAATTATATTTCTACATTTTCAGTTAAATGTAGAAACTATTTTCAGTTAAAAATAGTTAAAACTATTTTCAGTATTATTAAGCAGGATTGCTAGTACTGGGTCTTGGGAATTCTTCACAATTTATGGAATGCTTGGGAACAGTTGGATGCTTCTCATAGCTGTTAATTGTGTTGTGGATTAAGACATTTCCAGGGGAGTATCACAAATGAGTTGGAAGAACTGGAAAATTGCTTCCTCCCTCTATGATTATGGTAGGGCTTTATGTTGAATCTTATTGTTTCATTACAGCCTTGGCTTCTGATTGCTAAACTGGTTGAGGCAAGATGTAGACAAAGCCAAATCAAAGCCCATTGAGATGATCATGACTGGGTGTCTTTGATTCATACTGGCCAGAGAATTTCTCCTTATTTTCAGATTGGCTTTGGGGAATTTATTTTATAGAGTTAATCTGCAGATGGGAGGTGATGATTCCATTGAGTTTGATCGATAAGGTCCAATGTTCTTCATTTATCGAACACAAAAATCATTCCCTTTCAACCAGCTCTCAGCATATCTGACAATGTATAGTCTTAGATATTCTGTCTTAGATTGGTAACCAGTGTCTGTCTATCATGCACCCTTCCCTATCTTTTCCCCCTTCTTCCCTATGTTATTTTGTACAGTAATGTTTGAGGGATTATTGTAGATGTCATGAAATTTCACCCCTAAATATATCATCTGAAGAACAAAGACATTCTACTATACAACCACAATATAACTATTAGACCCAGGAAACAACATTCATCACACACACACACACACACACACACACACACACACACACACACACACACACACACACAATCTGTAGATGTCCTCAGTTATCATCCACTTTTGTTTTGGTAACCTTTCTGGAAAATTTTCTTGTTTCATAGCTGGGTCAAAAATACTGGGGCAAAATCAACTTAAAGAAGGGAGGATTTATTTTGGCTCACAGTTTGAGGGTATAGTGTATCATGATGGAGAAGGCATGGTGAGAAGCCTTAGGTAGCTGGTCACATTGTATCTGCTGTCAGGAACAGGGAAGAATGCTTGTGCTTAGCTCACTTGCTCCTTTTATTTAGTGGAAGATTCCACTCCAAGGAATGGTGCCACTGCAGGGTGGGTCTTCACACCTCTATTAACTTAATTTAGATGGTCATTCACAGGCATTCCCAGAGGCTAACGTAATCTACATATTCTAGATCCTGCCAAGTTAACAATCAAGATTAGTCATCACATACGCCTTTTTGTTTATCATGAAGTGTTATGCTTTTCTTTTCACTTGCTGTCACTCTGCTGGTCTCACTTCACAGCTTTGCTTACAGTTGAGTCTTTAGTACAAGTTTCCCCACAGTTCTGCTCACACTATCCCACAGTATGCTGCTGATAGGAGATACTCAATAAATGTTCACAGAGTTAGATTGGGGTGAATATGTTGGTGTGAGATCCTTGTACTGATGCCAGGGAAGGTGTGTGTGGGGGGTGGTGGGAGGCTGGGAGGTTGAAGGGACTTCTAGGGCTCATAGGCAGTAAGACATACTTTGTTCAGGCCAGGTGAAGGCTGCCAGGCTGGCAGCAGGCACCCAGACACATGCCAGCACATACAGGCCACACATAGGCGGGCACAGGCACACATATAGCAGCACACAGGCTTACAGTCGGGTTGGCTGGAGAAAGTAAAGGTTCAGGCCTCTGACCTAATGACTGCATTTATACCTAATCACACAAAAGTGGCACTCTGCCAAATCCAGTTATATAACAGATTGCATAACTGTTTACTTTGGGGTCCCTAGATAGCCGGCATCAGCCATGTTTTAGGAGACCTATACCAGATATCCATATCAGTGTCATGTTGTCTAAACACAAACTGGCCCTTATGGCCTTCTGTTCCCTCAGCCAGTCAGGGTCCATGTTGCAGAGACAAATGTTGATTCTTCATCTTTAAAAGCTCAAGATGAGTTTGCAAGGAATGCCATTTTTCCTTTGCATTTTTGACACTGTTATTTGCCTTGTACATTCTGTTTTTACTGTACTCGTATTAGCACAGGTTTATTTTTTTCAATGAAAAAGAAAGAAAGAAAACAAGTCTGTAGGAACTGGCACTGTTCCTTAAATTTGTAAGACCTCTAAAATTTTGATTTCTGCCAATGCTGTAGACTTATCCTCCTGAGCTGATTCCAAATTTTGCTTCTGTGCAATGATGCTAATTTTTACTGGCTCTTTTGTGTGTGCAAATCTTCTTGTATTATGTAAATCTTCTAAAATGCAAAGCTAGGGAGAACACTTTACCAAGCTTGTATTCAGCAAGCTGGAATTGTTAATGATGCCCTTCAGTTTGTCAAGTTTCAGAAAAAAAATCCAGGTGATATTTTTAAAAATGTTTCCAGTAAATTCTACATTGGATTTTGTATGGATACTTACAAAGCTGGGACATTATTCACCAATTCCAATTACATGCACAAGTATTAAATTTTTGAATACCTTTAACATCCAGAAAAATAAGCAAATGACTTCCTTTTTATGGCATTTTAAAAACTCTAAATTGGGCCACCTTTTTATTCCTGGCAAAACACCTGCTTATAATACAATACAGTATATTAAAAGTATGAACTGTTTGATTCTTCATGTTAATAGTTAATTTACAATTGTTTTGAGACAGAGTCATACCATGTGACCCAGGCTGACCTTGAACTCATGGTCCTCTTACATGTTGGGTCCGCAGGCATATGCTACATTTCTGGCTATCTGCTTCTATTCTTTTAAGTTTTATTTTTAACTACTTGGTTGTCTAACTTGCTTTTCCTTTTTCCATATAGTTTGATATTTTAAAATTTCCTTTTGTAACCGTTT